GTCCGAAGTAACAAACAAAGTGGCATCCCCCCCACACCAACCCAGCAGATCCAGCAGGTGCAGGCTCGAACAAGGTTTCTCAACTGTTGCCATTTTTGAGGTACTAAGGGCCCTCCATGAGAAGCTCTCGAAAACGACATCGTTTGAGAAACATTGATTCCAGATTTCTTGAGTGAGTACCTCTTTTGAGTCAAAACGGCCACTCCTAGATGAATTGCCGAAGTTGGCCGAACAGTTTCTCCAGGGTAAATCTCAAAATGTCAAACTCCATGCACCATCCACTTTGAACCCCTTTTTTGAACATCGCTTCTTGCTTGAAATCTGTGGACTCGAGAGACTTGGACTTCCAAACACATCTAAGTTGGAAAATCGTCTTTGACCAATTCTGGTTGTTTGAGGATGCATGGTTACATTGGTGGAACTGCTGGTGAATCCGGATTTAGGGGCTACAAACAATCCGAGAATGGCACTAAACTCAACATTGCGCCTGACAACACTCCCCATGTTCTGTGCATACAAGGGTGAACACGGCATGTTTCCTGTGCCTATTCAAGAAGTACAAGGCCCCTACATAGATCTGGCACCCACACTCCCATTCTGAATAAAACCATCCCAATGGAACTAATGTTGTGCTGTCCGAAATAACCGCTTGGCACTTGGCACCCGTGATATTGCACCTGTGTGTCAAATTGCGCCCTGGTCCTGCGTGGAGGCTCAAGCTGGAGGAGGTTTGCAACACCTTGGATTTCCTGCAGAGTGACCTATGAGCTGCTCTATTTGATTAGATCTACAGTATTAGATACTCTATTATATATATATATTAGTATATACACACACTATATCTACAGTTACAGAAATCGCGTAGAAGCTTAGCACCGCTATGTGCATTTAATGCTCACATCCACCCCCCTCCACTCAAGCTAAGGACCTTCAAGATCTCAAAGGTTCGCCCATCTGCTTGATGTCTGTCATTTCATCTTGCTGTCGCATGTGCCGCGCCTGTCATGTCCAGGGGGTACCTTCGGCCAAGCCTGCAACCACTGCATTTGGCAATTGATGCAAGTGGCATGTTAGGCTGAGCTGCACCAAATCAACAGTGCTTGTGGCACCACCTGCTCGCTAAATGAGTCTCCATGACGGTCCATGACCCGCATGATTCATGATCAATTCCTCGGCCCCTCCGGCTACCTGCAAGTGCACTGGCTGCATTGCTGCATTGGCTAAAGGGTAACAATGTTGTCTAAATAACAATCTCTCATTGCTGGTTCACAAGGTGCATGGCGGGCGTGGTGGATGACCTGCACACCGCCATCAGCCATCCTGCAACTTTTAGGTCGTCTTAGCAAAAGCCCAACCGTGCCCAACCTACTGGAGGAACCTGCTGCTCATGCTGCGTCCATTTCCAACCAGGCTATCTCCCCAGCAGTTAGCCTGGCTAAATAAATATAGAAATATATAATATTGTACATTAAAACAATATTCAGTATCTCTATGTATGTTGTATACTGATAAAGTTTCATTCTACCTCCTATCAAGCTGAGGCCCCCCGCGGCCAGTTGAGCTCACTCCTCAAGGGATCAAGAAGCAAATCCACCTGGCAACGCCCCTGGTGAGTCTGGCCCAAAACTGAACAAAATGATGAAAATGGACCCAGGTGCTTCTCGCTTTCCTGCTCCAGTATCAAGCAACCTTTCCGCCAAGGCCAGGGGAAGCGATCACTAACAGTTTGCTCTTGCGCCTACCAATGTAGGCATGGAAATGAATTCTAGTAACTAAGCGAGGGTATTTCATGTGAATCTTTGGTGGTGACGGGTGCGGTACATGCTTGACGGAACTTTGGCTAACCCCACTGACAAGAATCCTGACATCAGCCCCCTCAGCCTCGTCGAGCAACATTACACCTCCGTGAAAAAGACTGAGAATCGCACCACAAATACCTCAATCAGCTGTCGAATGCTGTCGACATATGTTGTTGGAGCAAAGTCCTTTCTAAGCTGGATATCCTCCCACGTTCTCAGTCCCATGTTCGGTTGTAAGTTGTTGTTTCCTTCCGTCAGTCCTTGCAGCCCGTGCTGTCTCTTCCAACCATCTGTGATCTGTCAAGTCAAGCTGCATTGATTGTCAGCTTTGGCATTGGCATCATTGGCATCACATCTAATCTATATATATATATATATATAATCTAGGATCAACATCCTGGCAGGCCCAGGGGGTTTTACGCAAACTAACTACTGAGCTCGCAGCGGACTTCTTCGACTTTGCCTTCCTCCTGTTTTGGGCATGCTTATTTCTAAAACCATTCAATTCTTCTCCCTGAGTGGAATGTTACTGTTGGCCTGTTGGCCGAGTCCATTTCAATAGCCCAGTCCCAATGCCACCACCGTTGCCTATCCACTTCCCCAAAACAAACATATATATATTATATATATATATAAGTTTGCTCTCCCACTGGCATCCCTGGCCGCTGTCCTTCCGTGGTGATTGTGGAGCTGGCCCACTTCGATTGGATCCTGGTTCTTCATCAGATGCCTTGGCTCTGCTAACACGGCACATTTAATCTTGGACTACTCAAACTGCAAATGTGACTTCTTTCTGGAATTATTGTGATCTTCTGCAAACACAAAGTGCACACAAATGCAAGCGGAATCAAGCGGATTCGATTGATTGTACATAATCCAGCATCAAAACAAGGAACTGAATGCAAATGAATCAAAATTGGAAGCTTGGCTTTGGCATTAGTGTTTATTACTTATCCGAAGTTATTGGATGAGAACACTCACCAGGAAGCTCAAAGCCCATTCCATGAGTGTTGACTTCCTGTTTGACCTGTTCCTTCCTCTCCAAACCAGGAGGCATTGGACAGCCAGGATGGGAAACGTAGCCACGAGCCCTGTCGCAGAGTGTTTGCTTGTTTCGCCCCTCGTCTAAGGGCTCCAATGGAGCCCTAAGGCCTCTTATTCAGGCTGGAGGCAAAACGTCCATGATTGATGTTGTTCATTCTGTATAGGAGTGGTGCTGGTAGTATTCAAAGTGACTGTGACTTACAGATCTGGGGCATTTTATTGCATTCTCTTGTTACTTGTTTCTGTATGCGTCTCATTCGTCCCAAAATCGAGGTCCCGGATTTTTGGAGGTTTCTGGAGGCCTTCTGCGACTCAGCGGAGGTGCTCCGCCGGAGCTTCTGAAGTTGATGGATCCTTGCACTCAAGGCCCTCAAACCTACCATGACTACACTCTCGGGACTCTGGGGTGGTAACAAATCAAACAGAACCAGGGAGTGAACATAGGAACAGGCTGATTGCCCATCAGAGTCAAATCGAATCGCTTGTGTTCGTGTCATTGCTGGATCGCCAAGTCTGAAAACCACTCTGAAAACCGTGGTAAGGCTGCCAGGTATTTGTGCAAAAGCGTGGGATGACTGGAGACAAACGCTTGCATTTGGTCCCTCATATGTAGATGTGCATATATATATATATATACACACCAAATACATACATATACATATATATATATGTATATGTATATATGTGTACTGTACATGTATCTAAGTGCAACAATGTTTGGCAAGTGACCTTGCCCTTTCTACATGTTGCCAAGTCAAGTCATACAGTTTGGAGCATGGATTGCCAATTAGCCAAAATATGGCTCCGAAATTGTGTCCTTTGCACCCGGAGTGTAAGCCTATGATGGATACATATATATATATATATATTGTTATTTATTTATTTTAGACTCTGACAATATACAAAGGCATTGCCACATAAAGACCTATGTCACAACTTCATCAAGCAAGTAAGGCTCAAAGAGGATTGTTGGAGAGAGTCTGGAACAAAAGAGTTGCAGCACTTCTTTAGAAGATGGGTGACCTTGCTTGACGCGTTGAGTTGCCAAAGGGATGTCACAACGAGTCTGGTCTGGGCCCAAGGGCTCCAAGAGCAGTTCAATTCTTCTGAGCAGGATGCTCTTGACCTGAAGCACATCAGTCGAGTGTTGTGGCCAAGCCCAGTTTCTAACCAGGCGATTGAAGCCACAGTCTGCGACGAACGGCCAACGTATATTGGCTTTAGGCTTTTTTCTTTGGGTGGGCCCTCGGGGCTAAGCAACAGGCAGAATTTGGAGCTGCAATCACTGCTGCCTGCTGTCGGACTCAAGCAAGCAAGTCATGCAAGTGAGTCAACTCCTTCCGACCCTGCATTGGACGCCAAGCTGTTTGCTTGGGAGCATGACAAACAGTCTCGGGCATGTTTCAGAATCTTTCAGATAGAGGCATCAACCGAAACATGCAACATATCGGCATAAACAAACCAAAACATGACCCCAGTGCCTTGCCACGCTGCGCGGCCTCCAACTTGCAAAGCAATGCCTGTGTGGCTGGAACCTGCAGCAAAGTCTCCCACTTGTGTGAGGGTGCCTAGGATTGGACACTTTGAGCCCCTGAGGCAGCACAACACGAGATGTTTTAGCGCTGTGACTTACCTAAACATGACTCTTTTTGATGTGGAGGGTGGGCAAATAATCCTCACAACCACCTGCTGGCTCTGCAACCAGTGGCCTTCAACCGTAAGGCACACCTTTTTGCAGAGGAGCCGAAGCAAGCGTTGGTACAAAAGCAACAGAAGACTACATGGCCGACTGGCCGACAGGTCGTCTCTGCATATAATGATTGGTCCAAATTGCCTCCAGGCAGTACGCAACAAAACATTGATAAAGCAGCCTTATATAATTGACATACAGATATACATTTATATATTATATACATATATATATAGAGAGAGAGTGAGTGAGACGAGTTTCACCGTGGGGGTTCCTAACCTTCAAACCGTCGACCCTCAAACAAAAAACGGTGTGGCTTTCTGCCTAGCTCACGGGAGGCAAATCCTAATTTGGTCGGCTGATGCCAAACTTCCAGAATATTGTCGAGACATATCAAAATTCCATTACTGCTCGCAACTGCCCGTAACCAACCAGGTGGTGCAAAAAACAATGATCGCCAGTTCTGGTTCCTGTGAACAAATGTGAACCCATCTCAGAATATGATGTGCTCCACAGGTTTGCCTGCCGATGGAACTCCAGCGTGAGCACTGGCCTGACATGAAAGTCATTTAAACGAAATTGTGTGCATTTGATCCAGTCTGCAAAACCAAATGCACAAGAGTCATCAAGATTCTATCTGAGAATGCTGAAAGAATAGAAGTCCATTAATCCTGAAGTCCTCTGGCAAAAACTCCTACGCACAACCTGACGGCGCCTGGGAAGAACTGGCGAAGAGAAACGCTCCGCGAGCACTGCACGAGACCTCAGAACTCAGACTTCTTCGTACCACTGGCCTCAAACAATACTTCTAGGTCAAGGAGTCACAGCACCAGGAGACGGCGCAAACACGTTGTCGATGCCAAGGATCTCACATATCAAGTAACGCAGCTGGCATGCAGGCGCACACCAACCTCCCACAAGAATTGGAAGCTGGTTGAACAAGATGCAGCCTATTGTTCGAGTCCAGTCCAACATGTCCCAACTGTTGATGGTACAAACAACTATATAACTGACTGATTCCACCTCGATTTCACTTGGAAGGACTGGCTTCTGAACCTTGCCACAGTTTGTTGAGAATCTAAAACCCCAGTCACTGCCTATCGCCTACCCATTAGCCCCTTCAAAGAGCTTCCTACAGTGAGCGTGCGTGCTGGTTCCAAGATGTCGCAAGTGTCCAAACTGCCAACCTGGTAGTATCAGCCAGAAGGAGCACAAGCACCGGAGCAATGACAGTAGTCTTCCCTTCACCCATGAGCATCTGCTGGCACCTAGGGCAGTTGGCCAATAGCCCTAATGACCAGGCACCTTTGCACGAATCTGCAGAAAATAGATCTCTGTCTTAAGACACGGTCGTTGATACATGCTTGGTGGTTGATCTATATAATATATATAAATATATATATATCCTTTCTTACGGAAACACAATTCTTCTCGATAAATCAACATAAACTCTCGCACACACCATGAAAGGCTCTCAAAGAACCTTTTAATCAACTACCACTTGTTGTATCTTGCTGCTGTTGCTTCTCAAAACTAGCACTGGAAACCAAGCTGGTTCCGAGGACTCGGCACGGACTGCCCAGCCTGAAAGCTTGCTCTCATCCCCTGTTTTGCTTCTTTCTCTCTCCCTCTCTCTCCCTCTCTCTCTCTCTCTTATGTGATCGTTCTATACATTTGTCCTTCCCTGTTTCTGCTCCCACTCCCCCTCCCTTGCTTCCCTCGCTTCCGACATTGTCCTCCATCGCCCGTCTTGCATTCTCCATTTCTTCCTTCCCCATTCCTCCCTTCATCTGTTCCTCTCGGCTCTTGTAGTGTGAGCATGCACCACTCTCTTAGAACTGCAAATCAATCTTCACCCTAACGTAGGGGACTGACGAGGAACGCGCAAGCACAAGTGTTGCATCATGCGTGTACCTCTCTTCAAAACAGCCTTTGCCAGGATCGGGGCTAAATTTCACGGTGTTTCGGTTGACCCTGCCTGGGCAGTTGCTATGAAAGCCTTGATCAAATCGACCTGGCCATGGTGGCAGCCCGAGCTGAAATGCAAGTCATAGGGCCCTTTTGAAATGGCTTCAGTCTGGAGTCCTAGGTTTTGATGCTGATGGGTCACTGTGAGTTAATACTGTTTCATCTTTCGTCGTGACTCTCGGATCTCTTTTTTGGTCTTGTAAGAGTTATTCCTCTTACAATAAGTTGCTCACAACTGGGTTTCATACATTATCATTATCATATATACTCATCTTACAAACAAGGAAGCAGGATGGCGGCAATCACTGGCAAAAGGGGAACACGAAGAAGATAAATAACATCGGAAAACCGTCAGCTTTTTAGTTCTCCAAGATATTTCAAGCATATTGGGAAGGGTCAACGGAACCAAATATGATATGTCATGTAAGACCTACTGGGCCAATAGAAAAGACTAGGAACTACTTGTGTTGAGGGGACAGGAGGAGCTAACAAAACCAGATTGTATGTATATATGTATATATCGATGTGTGTGTGTTTCAGCAATGAAAAGCTGATTAAAAGGCCGAAGGGAAAAAAGCAATTTTCTACTTAGGGAAGTGGCGAATTGAAGAACTCTATGCATCGTAGTGTAGGCAAAAAGAAGTCCAAATGACACGGACTTAGGCAATTCGTCTTTGAGTTTGGCTGGCACCTTGTCAAAACCAAACACACAAAAAACCAGAAGCTTAAGGAGGATGACAAGAAAATCAAAAGACACATATTAAGTAATCGTTTATTGCCTGAATAAACGCTCTTGGTGTAGCTCATTACATTCTTGAGCATTGCTTTCCATTATTTGGATATTAATGTTTCTTAGGAATGGTAACATCTAAGAATAGAAAGAGCTGAGCACAACAAGTTGACCAAGCAAAAGACTTTGTGAAGATTGGACCAGCTTTTTTGGTGCACTATTTTCAAACACATGTAAAAATGTAGACAAGCCTGAAAGAATTGTATTAAAAAAACAGGAGCAATAGAGGGGAGTGTTGAGGGGGTAGGACCGGGCAGGAAGAGTTAAAGGAACATCTGTTGTAAATCAATGGCATCAGCAGTGAAAGAACGGAAGAAGAGGAACAAAAGCTAATCTCACACTTACGAATAGGTGGCAAAAGAGTGTTAAAAAAAACAATCCACTGTTTGAGTTACGGGAATTGCACAGTTAAGCAGCGGAATGGCCACCAAGAAAACAATGAATTACAAAGCAACTTAAAACAAAAATGCCAAAACAAACCAAGAAAAACAAGTCAATGGATTGACCTGGTCTAAATCATAGGTGTGTTTTCTTTTGAGTCTGTTTGTTGTGGTTTGGCTTCAACACAGTCGGAGATGGAGTCCAACCCTCAGATTGCAAACACCTGGGTAAAAAACAAAAAACTAATGTAATTACACTTGCTGAAGATATGGTATTGGGTCCAAGGGTTTTGATCGTGTTTTTTGGGGATGTCCCGCATCTCCACATCTGAGCTGAAGTTCAGTTCAACCCTCAGCTTGCAAACTATTAAAGCAAAACCAACTGAAAAACAAGGGGACACGTGTGGAACATATGGAGTTGGGTCAATAGTAATATAAAATAGTTTTGTCATGCTTGTTCTTCTTTTGTTACTGAACTGCAAAGCACAGCGCCAAGCTAACAAACTGCACAGCAAACATCGCAAATAGTTCTAAATCAATGTAAATAGAATATATATATATATATATCCATATATATGGTTATACTGCACTTAAAACAGATACTGTCATATACTTGGCGAACCTTTGTGAACTGGAGGACATCTTTTGGAAGTGGGTGAAATGCTCCCCTCTGGAAGCCCCACGGGTGATGGATGTCACCTGTTCACTGGGCCAAGAACAAGGCTAGCGCATGCTAGTGCGTAGTTCTACGCAATCACGATGTCCGTGGATACTGACTACCCGCACTTGTGCCTGAGACTTGCGAAGCATGATGTTGCAAAGGAACTCGAACACCAGGAGTCGCGGATCGTATAGATTTGCTTTACCTGCGCAGTTGAAGAATGTAAGCTCCACACGGTTCACTGGCAGCCCAACAGGCAATGCATAATTCAATTGTACGTAGGAGATTGAACATGAACATGTTGCTTATTAATGCTTAACAGGTAATTCACATATATCCACGTGCTCCTTTCTTCTAACAGCTTTGTTTGCAATGTGAGCGGTGTCAAAAACCATCCGGAACTTTTATTAAGATTATAACAACCTTTCGCCAATCCCTTCGCAACGCTTTCGCGGCTGCATGTTTTGCTTTCGCCGACCCACTTCACCCGACAACCTCTTTAGCTAACCCTTTCGCCGAGTTTCTGCTACTTACATCTAAGAAAAGTATCAGCAAAGGGGAATCATTCCTAATCTGCAACCACTGCTTTCGCCACATCTTCGCGAACCTTTCGCCAACCTTTCGCCTGGTTATCAGGAATCTTTGGATGACATGCTTTGTACTGAAAACCTCTTCGCCAACCCTTTCGCAACAAAATCCATTCATCAAAAAATCAGAGCCTTTCTCCAAACCTTTCGCCAAGCTTTCCCCAACTGCAGTTTTCCTTTCGCACAGATTCATAATCTTAAGTCCTACCTAAATTCTTTCATAGAGGTTTATGACGTTGCTCATGTGTTGTTCATACGTCCAAATTTCTCTTTTTGGGCGCCTGACTGCCAAATGAGATGTCGCTCTTCGCCTGGAGCGGTGGTCATAAGGCCCCTAAACAAGTTAAGGCTTTTGACTTGAAATGCAAACCAAAAAAGCCTGCACGGCAATTGTTCACACGGCTCATAGATTTATTAATAGATATCACGCGTTGCCGGGCCTAGCTGCAACGCAACCTTGGCTGCAGGCACTCGATCTTGTGCAAGAATTCACCCATTACGCATCCCTTGCCCAGGACGGGTATGAAGGGAGTAACGCGGCGTTACATCTCGTGGTACCTGGCAATTACCTTGCAAAGCATGCATGCAATTGAATTTGTCTACAGTAATTTTTGAAGGCACACTCACGAATGAATCACTGATCATCTGGGATTGCTCGGACATACATAATTTGTATACCATGAATTATTCATTACTATACCAAGGAACCTTCCAATGGCTTGCGCAAGGTTTTGAAAGAGTTGGAGGAAACCACTGACAATTCTAAAGATCATTTGTGTGAAGTGGGTGGGTTGATGGGAGTCTTTCAAGGATGTTGACACACACCCAAGGCCACCACTGCGCGCGCTTGCAAGGAGACGGCCATCTCCCCTCCTGTTCCTTGGCGCTCCTGGAAGCCAGTTCAGTGGGAAACCAGAAGGAGCAAATCACTTGAGCATCTTCGTATTCAGAGACGCTCTGCCAAGCTGTGTAAAAAGCCAAAAGATTGCTGAAAGTGGTGGAACCAAAGTATCACAAGCAATCACTTTTGGTCAAGGACTTTCGCGTCAGCGGCCTGAAAGAGCTCCTCCAAGGATTGCTGCGCTCTGGCAACCTTTGGAGGCTTCAAGTCTTCAAGCATCTTCGACTCCTAATTAGAGCCCCAGACTTGCCTGACCACCCCGACAGCATCTGAATTGAAGCCAACTTCTTGGGTCTTGCAATGTCTTGTGCCTTTGAGGCTCTTGAGGTGTTGAAAGGGGCTTAAAAGATCTTCCGAACGTCGGATGTCTTGATGCATGTTTGACGTCTTCTCTCCTGATCCATTTCAGAAGCTGCCAGGCCTGACCCACACGCACCGTGTAAAGCCTTGGTCGGTCTTGGTGGTTTCATTCCTTCGGAGGCACGCCGACTGCCCCCAAGCTATTGTTGCCAAAGCTCCCTCCCAGAGTCTAAAGCGAGTCAAGCATATCGAGCAGCTATCGCTGCCCTATCCTTACCACATGTTGTGAAATCCACTGCCACAGAACTCAATCAAGCTCAATGAAATTCCAAAACCAACAAATATTGACACAAAAACTGGTCCTAGTGGCACGTGACTTGCCACTTAGCTTCTCTTTGGCTACACCGGCCCCATTCTCAAAACGAGTGGCAAAGCACTCGCGACCAGCTCCCACAGCCTGCTGCAAATTGGGGTATATATATACTGTGTATATATATATATGAATATATATGATATGTCGGTGTACGTGGACAAACTGGTTGAGTCAGGCAATCTGGAAGGATTTCTGCTGCCCAGTCTATGAACCCCGAGGCTTGATTATATTTTGTTGTTGCAGTATGATGGTCCTCTCCAGTCGTGGCATGTGTACATACCGTACATACGTGAGGTCCCCTTTTGCCCACCTGGCGAGTGACTTCTCATCCAACGACCTGTTCAACGAAGTCTTCACGAAAATATGCACATTCATCTACAAATATAACATGGTCCAGTTGCAAACAAGCATTTGGGTCTGATCAATCCACCCGAGGAATGTCTAGCAATCTTCTCCAGCACAGTAACCGCTCGCTGATTCGAGCTTCGTGCGGCGGAAGAACTTCGCGTAGCGCTAGGAAAGATGGTGACCTCGGCATCTCGTGATGTCTTGTGACCATGAGAGGCACATTCGGAGTTCGCCATCTGAGTCCCGACTGCTCTTCAGCCATCAATGCAGTCACCAAGGTGCACAGGCCTGATGACTCAACAATGCACAAAGAAACACAAAACAATAACACCTACTGTAAGACCTATGACAGAAATAAAGCGAATAACGAATAAAGGTCTCTCATTGCCTTCGCAAAAGTGGGCTCACTGAATGCTCCATATCTGACGATTCTCTTTGTACATTAGGATAGTTCGCAGTGGACGATGACTCAGCGTTCGCCTATCCGGGGTGTAATGCCACTGGCCCGACATAGCCAAGCTGCCGCCTCAAATAACTTTAGAGCTGGGTGTACAACATTCATCACATCCTATTTGGAAATCCAGGCTGCTTGCATGAAATATTGGCATACAGTGTACATCCATCTGGGTCCGTAATATATCCTCCAGTACCTTCTACAACTGCTCAGGCTCACAGCATCACTGAATTAGCAGCCCGGTGCCCCGACGCCGCCCTGATTGACCAAATCCTCCAAGGCAGTGATGGACATTTGCATCTGCTGCACATCCTGTGAAGAGAAGCTGGATTGGAACTCTCCGCTCACAATATCCAACACCTGGTTATGTATATTGTTGTGGCTCATTTGTTAAACTGGCTTCATCGTGGGTGGTTCAGGGACAACTGGACAACGAATGAGCTACTCTACATCATCCAGAAAGCTCCATGCTTTGTGCCTTCGACGGCTGAAACTGGAAGATGCACATTCATTTTGACAGCTGTGAGGGGTGCAGCGGCACTTTCTCAACCAAACTAAATTCTGCACTGCTTATTTATACCTCGCCTCTTTGTCGTGTTCATACCATCTTTCTCTCTTTCGTTCGTTTCAATCGATGCGGCAGCAAACTGCCGAGGCACTGATACAACGACAACGAACCTGTTTGAACATCTGCATCGAAGCATAGGCATAGGGGCTGCCAGCTGACCACCCTCGCTCCCACCCACCTCAAAATAATAAAGTTATTATTTTTAGGTGGGTGTACCTATCTGAGCGTAGAATTATTATGGAGGTAATATAGTTCAGAAATAATAAACCACACAGCATGATAAGATAGGGGGGGGGTGGTATAGACCACTCACCTAAGTGGGTAGATATATGGGGACAGCTCCTAGGAAAGTGTGCAGTAACAGCAATCGTAGGTGGTTCAAGCGCAACCACCTACAAAATAATAATCGCGCCCTCTTTTCTGCCATTCTCTCTCGGTTTCTCTGTGGTACCGTGAACGTCTGTCCAGTCTTTTTGCCTTGATGGGGCAGCTGATCCGGGAGAATATATGGAAAATATTGAGGACAAGCAAGATCTCTGTCCAAGGCAGGTCAAACAATCGCCGTATTTCAGGGGTGGGGCTGGCCTAAGGGACCTCTGAAATAATTAGTAGATCGACTGATTGACTGGAATGTGTGGATAGCGTGATATGGTCCATAAATTATTTCAGGGGTGGGGTACCCCTAAACGACCTGTTAAATAACAAATAAGGTGGGGGGAATGTTGCCAGTATTTGCCACTTATTCCATGGAAAATATGGAAAAGGTTGAAAACATTGAGGAGTTTAGTAGAAGGAACCAGTAAGGGGGGCAAGGCTTACCCCACAGACATCATTAATAATATTCAAGTAACTATTTATTTGGGGGGTAGATGACAGGTAGCCCACCTGCCAAATAATATTGTTTGTGCTCGAATGGATGGATCCCAGATAAAGGTAGGCCCCCTGATAGGATGGATCCCAGCGAGAATTTGATGAGAGTGTGAAGCCGGCTGCTTTGAGCTACCAGACTTTTGGATCAGGTGTGCCTTGGCTAGTTCAAACTGATTGCAGCGCGACAAACGATGACTTGGTGGCAGAGCATAGCTGATTGATGTGGGAGTCAGACGTTCACGGTCTGACAGAGAAACCGAGAGAGAATGGCAGAAAAGAGGGCGCGATTATTTTTTGTAGGTGGTTGCGCTTGCACCACCTACGTTTGCTGTTACTGAACACTTTCCTTGGAGCTGTCCCCATATATCTGCCCACTTAGGTGGGTGGTCTATACCACCTCCCCCCCTATCTTATCATGCTGTGTGGTTTATACTTTATATCTTGATTGTCTCAGCTCTGTGGACAAGCACATCAAATTATTTTTGCTCTGGCACACGTACCCCTCCACCTGCCAAATAATTTCCAATAAACCCTGCATCATACCTTCTTCCACGGGTTATTGTTATTCTATGTCATTCAGTGCTAAAAACTATTTGGAAACCATATATCAAAATAATATTTTATTATTTTGCAACATGCCATACCATATTTTTTCTACATGGTCGATATTATTTTGACCCACCACCTACATGCCTCTCCAAATAATACTTTATTGATATTATTTCAAAAAAATATTTGGAGACGAGACGGTCACCTCAAAATAATTTCGCTCGGCAGGGGCTATATCGAAGCAATTCTTTTTTGATTGAATGTCACCATCCATCTGTGCGAGGTGCTGCCGGGCTAACGCTCCTCTTGTCGTTGTTTCTCCAGCTCTTTGGCCAATGACGATGCCTCACCCCCCAAGAGTCTTCTGGTCATGGACATCTACGGAACGTGTGCCCAAGTCCTCTAGCACATTGGTAGATCAAATCAAGCGCCTTAGTGCACCTGCACCTACCCATCTCTTTAAGAAGAAGAGCACGGGACATCATGCGACATCAATTGCACAAGTAATTCACTCAATCAATGCAGTGAGCTAGACTCTTACTTTACGATCCCCATTCTGCAAGGCCTGCGAGATGGAGCGCAATGTGGATGTTGGTGGAGGCCTCAGGTTGATCTTGAGTGTTGAGATACGACTCCGCGAAACAACCTGGAAATGATTGTCACTAAGAGATTGAGATCCGCTGATCTATGCAAAATAACACCAGCGTCCACTTTGTTTCACGCCGCGTGGCTCACGTGATGCCTGCTCCAACTCTTGCAAAAGACGGTCCTCAAGGAAAATGGCGACTGGGACTGACATGACACAAGATCTCACTGAAACCTTCGTTGAGGATGCTTGCATGCGGGTAGAAAAGAGTAGTGCAAGTCCATAGTAGGTAAGCTAGGAATAGGTCAACAGGTGACACGAGACTTCAATGTTCAAAGTTCAAACATCACCTCTGAAACTGAGGTGCGGCATTTTGAAGAGCTATAAGTTATAAGGTATAAACAACAGCCGCAAGGCCACAGCCACATTGACGACTCCTAAAATCTATGCTCACTTTCTTGGGGTGAACTCATGCTCAAGTCTCAGATTTCCACCAAGGTGGCTTGTCCTGCAGCCTCCGGCACTCAGACTCAACTGCTGAATCGGTGTTTCAACATGCTCTGCAATTTTGCCCAGCCTTGGTACTCTGCAATGAGCGCAAGGCCTTACAATCTGAGAAAGTGCTCAAATGCAGGGGATACAACCACATGAATTGCGGTGGTATTCGTTCTGGAGCACTGGAGCACCCATGCCAACATCACAAACAATGTCTGTTTCAAATCACGGGGGTCCTTGGTTCCTCCTTTCATGCACTTACAACTTGCACGCCACACCAGTTTCATTGACTTCGAAAAACGCACGAGCTGCATGGCAAAGTAGTGTCTACGTAAACCACCATCGCTTCTCTAATTAGAGTGATGCCACAAGCCAGCAGCAAGCAAAGTAAGCAAAGGCATGCAACTCCAAGATGCAGCACACGCACAAATATTCCTATAATGGTCCTCATTCATTCTGCCTGCCTTTCTTGCGTCTTTGCCTGGGGCACCAGCTTTGCGCACCGCCAGCCCTCCCGGCCCTGGCAAGGGTAGGCTCCAGCACTCAGCTTTGATCAGTAGTCGTAATTGAGTTGCAATTGCTTGTCTTTTCACCTATTTCGCTTTGTGTCACTATCCTCTGCCGCTCGAATTGAACTAATCATCGAGAATCTGCAATCTCCATCTGCACAAAGGGCCAGCTTTGCAAACCAACCTTCTCGTCCAGCACACGGGTCCAAACGTATTGTACTGTAGGTAAAAAGGTTCCATGATTTCACAATCATCCACCCAGAATGCGAACTCCAGTTCAATCTGTGAGAATGTGATGGGCACCGTAGACTCATGGATCAAACACTCAGAACCCTGCCTAGGCCAGCTTTCCCAGGCTCCTGGCAAGGTCTTCCAAATGACTCATCTGCTGGCAAAGTGGTGAGCTAGGTTGATGCTTGCTTGCAAACTCTATGTCCAAGAATGCGCACCTGCTGAATGAACTTGGCAGCAAGCTGCTTCAAGGGCTTGCTCGCAAAGTCGGCGCTCAAGTGGGCGCCTCTTTCAATATCCCACATATTCGTTAACAAGACTCATGTTGACAACATCCTGGTCACATCAGTCCGCTGCCCGGGTGCAGCTAGGCCATTTTACAGTTAGATCGACTGGACATAGTGAGACCCTCCCTCTGTCCACTACCTTGACCAGGACATTAGCATAATATATAATTCCATGAGATGTGTTGTGTCACACCTGCCTAAGATACGTGATTGGCAACGCACATCTTGCGTCAAGGGCGGTGCCTAGGACTGAGCGAGCGGATCGGGATTGGAGCGATCCAAATCGCCAAGGATTCTGAGACGCAAGTATAGTATATACTCTAGGAGCTTAGTAATCTTCCTTGAAAACATCGAACCAGCCTTTTGATATCTTTTGATTGGCAAATCTTGGACGTTGCTGTGCCGGCATCCCTTTGAGGGTATCTCTGATGGCCGACTGGGTGGTCTGCAAGAGCGTCCGAATGAACGGCACAATAGTATGCGAAAATGACCTATGCCTATGCATATATGGTTTGGGTCTTCAAATCAGAACAGGCATGGCATGCTGAGAGCTGGTAGAATGCTGGAACTGAGGCGCCGTACCCACCAGAACATTCCTTTGGCGTCTTCTACTGTCACGACCACCACCTGCTGCATTGCTGTGAGGGGGGGTGGGCCCTACTCTCCCATCCACTAAGTATACTCACCTGGCTATGTGGAAGAAAGTGAAACATAGCTGATGTACTGCAGTTCCTCTGTCCAGAACTGAAACAGGCTGCACCTTTGCAGGTTCAATGGCCGGCGGGTGTGCGCTTGGCCAGGTCAACGACCTTTCAGAATGGCCAGCGGACAAAACAAGTGCCCAGCCCATCGAAACCATACAAAGTGGCAAGTAGCAATGAGTAACTCAGTGAGCAACTTAGTCTGTGTATATAATTTCTTTGTTTCACTATATTATATGTTAGCTTGGGGATGCTTCTGCTACCTCATTTCCTGATCGCAAAAGCGCCTTGCAATCTTTGGACATTTGAGTGGCCGAATGCGGCAAAGACAGTGTGAGAGCTTTGCTCATGCCACTGGCAATGACAATAACTGTCAAGTGAAACGGTGGTCTCTGCAACACTCTCGCCCTTGAGCTATTCCAAGTGCAGCAAAGACCATTTCGCACTTGCAACATACAGGAAAAGCAATAGTTTCCTCTCGTATTCTTCCTTCATACGGTCTCGCTGTGCCCATACTTATGATCAGCCCTCGAGGAACTATGAGGTTCCAAAAAGCAAGAAGCAAAGCTGGCCTGAAAATTTTGATACTTTCTTTGGAAGCTCGCTCGGATAAAGGCTTTGAACCCAATCTCTCACTCGCCACCAGGTATTGCAATGGCCGCCATGTGGTTGCGCCCGGTGCTGAGCATCAGAACCTGCTGACCTGGCGCTGGCCAGGCCAAGTGAGAAGTCCACAGAACCTACCCCTTTCCAGGTCTCGCACAGAGTGTCTTCTTGTAATTGTCAGACCAGCTGCATTACTAGTCTTCCACATGGCATTGAGAGGCCAAATGATCCTTCAAGTGATTCACGTGTTGATGCTTATTATATGATTCTATGATCTACTGTATGATCTTATATGATTTCAAGGATCAAAGTGAATCAATCAAAGTGCACTTTGTTGCGACCGGGTGAACGGGTGCGAACGGTATATTCCATTATGTATACACTCTTATACTGTAAATATATATATATATATATTCCGCCGCATTCCCGTTCGTCCTGTCCCCGAGATCCCTTGTGCACCCAGTGTGCTCCGCTGCCTTGCAGGCTGGGATGCTTCCAGTAGAGTGGACGGGCCAAGCCTGGGCACCAAGCCATGAAAGTCAAGAATGCCAAGCCAAGGACCTCTTTGCTCACAGATCCAGAATCTGAACCCCGGAACCGATGCGATGCGGCCCCATCATGTAGCACTTCATCATGTCGACCTCAGGAGGCTTTCCTCAGTCATTTTGGCAAAATGCAAGTCCCCGGAAAACACGATTGCATTCTGAGAGAAGCATTGGCTCACAAAGCTCCGTATGCGCAGCCTCATGGACAAGTGTGGTGAAGTGCCTCTTTGAATGCCCTTTTCTAAGGCAAGCATGGTTTGGGGCTCTGTGCTTGAGTCGAGGTCCTTAAAATGAATGCACATCACATCGTGATAGGCCCAGGCTCCTTCGCCCTTCTTGTTCAAAAAGCGCTCCACACCGCACCGCCCATCATTACTTCCACAGCCCCAAGCCTCGCGGCAAAGGCTTCACATGTGGGCGTCAACGTTTGACAGAACAACTCCAATTAGGGTCTTTGTTCAAATTCAAGAAGAATGCGGGTAACAAAAAGCCACTAGGGGCTCCTGGCCATACTACTAGGAGCAAGGGCTCCTGGCCTCAATACTAGTACTAAGAAGCTACTAGTAGCAAATAAATGCGGCAATTGTGCCAAAGTCTTGGACAAGTCGCCCAAGCTTTTCCATCAGCACCTCAGAGCAACAGTCTTCGCTGATTAGATCAGTGACTCAACTGGCTGGCCCGTGTGAAGGGGTCTTGGTCTTGGTCATGATTTCCCACACGTTCATGTTTTAGACTGTTTTAGTCGACTTCATGGTTACGTTTCCACAGCTTGGACGAATATCACCAGGCCGCAAAGTACTGCGCAATGGATATGCGCCGACACCGCAGCCACCGCGGGGCCCACAGCATCATAGGGCGGCGCTAGGCCCAGTGGTGACAGGGGACCATCAGCTGCATTGCGCAAGGGGCCACCCACACGATACGGCCGAAACTCGTCCCAGGGCCTTGCATCAACACGGAGAAAACCACATCAAACAAAGTTGTTTGCCTTGTTTATATAGCCCCTGCCTTAGGGAGGCCCCCCCCTGACACCCCTGCTCAATTAATTAGTCTATTAATTAGGGGGGGTAGGCTAATTAATTGACCCCTTGTAATGGGTGCTGATTAATAATAAAGGAAATGTAAACGAAAATTAAACGACCATGTGTGCATAATTTAGGTACCTGGGATGAATTTTTGTGCCTTGTAAATCTCTGCAAGAAAAGTGCAACGACAAAGAGCAAACACAAATCAAGGATCTGTTGACAACTGACCCACCGCCCAAGTAAAAACACAGCGCGTGTACGTTTGTTTCTGTTTTTCCACGCCCTATCACGCCCTCGCCCCTTCAAGGAGTCTCTGTGTCGATCCGTTCATTTGAAATCATATTGAATGATAGGTGTGTCAGGTCTGAATGACTAGTTGTTTTATAGACTTTTTTCAAGCACATCTCACCAAATCTGAATACCACAGATTTACAACTTCTTATATATGTCAATTATTTTTGGGTGTTCTGCAAGGCCCCCCTCCAGCAGCAAATGTTAACTTAGGTAATTCCAGAAATGTAATTCTGGACTGAGTAGGGGACCTGAATTAACTTTCTAGCGCTGGGGCTATTTGTTGTTTATGCTAGTCAACATTGTAACAGGTGATGATCAACAATCATAACACTGACCTAAACAGAAAACACACAACAGGCTTGCCACCCCCTTTCATTTCAGGCGGCCTTCCAAATGCACCATCTTTGGCACCGAGATTGCACAGTAAGCCTTTGTGGCAAGTGCCCATTGTATATAAGGCACCTCAAGTCTGAGGGTCAGACCGAGGCTCGGAATCTATCGAACGGGCCGCCAATCTTCCTTACTCCCGTTAGGTTGGAGGCCATCGCTTAGTAGGTCTGTCTTTCTCTCTCTCTCTTGCTCTTGCTCGCTCCAGAGTTTAGCTGCTGCATCTGTCTCCTCTTTCATCCTCTTTCTGCCTCCCCCCTCTCTCTGACACTAGCTTGGGAACCATTACAGTGGCAATTAATGGTCACAGGTCAGTGGGCCAAAAGCCCTTCTGTATGCATCATGGTTTGCCCAGCTCCGAAAAAATTCAAGGCGCCAGAGACTGCGACCAGCACAGTGTGTGGGCCTCATCTTCAAAACGTTGCTAGCTGCAAAGGGTGGTCCAGAATAGGTTCTGTGAAGCGATGCCTATAATCAGCATGTCAAAACATGTTGGCAATATCGAGATATAGTCCGTAGACCGTATAACAAGATGGAACCCACGAACCCAAATGCAAACACGTTCCATATGCCCAAATGACACTCTTGCAGGACACTCTTGTGAGTCAATCTTACGGGGCACTTTTGTAGGACACTCTTGTGGGACACTCTTAAAGGACACTTTTGCAGGTCACTCTTATGGGACAATCTCTTGTGGGACACTCTTGTAGGACACTCTTGTGGGTCACTCTTACACGACACTCTTGTAGGACACTTCTTGTGGGACACTCTTATAGGACACTCTTGTGGGTCACTCTTATGGGACACTCTTGTAGGACATTCTTGTGGGACACTCTTGTGAGACACTCTTGTAGGACACTCTTGTGGGTCACTCTTACAGGACACTCTTGTGGGACACTCTTGTAGGACACTCTTGTAGGACACTCTTGTGGGACACTCTTGTAGGAAACTCTTGTTGGACACTCTTGTAGGACACTCTTGTGGGACACTCTTATAGGACACTCTTGTAGGACACTCTTGTGGGTCACTCTTGTGGAACACTCTTACAGGACACTCTTGTGGGACACTCTTACGGGACACTCCTGTGGGTCACTCTTACACGACACTCTTGTAGGACACTCTTGTAAGACACTCTTTCTTGTAGGACACTCTTGTGTGACACTCTTGTAGGAAACTCTTGTGGGGCACTCTTGTAGGACATTCTTGTGGGACACTCTTACAGGACACTCTTGTGGGACCCTCTTGTGGGACACTCTTGTAGGACACTCTTGTAGGACACTCTTGTGGGTCACTCTTGTAGGAAACTCTTGTGGAACACTCTTACAGGACACTCCTGTGGGCCACTCTTACGGGACACTCTTGTAGGACACTCTTGTGGGACACTCTTATAGGACACTCTTGGGGGTCACTCTTATGGGACACTCTTGTGAGACACTCTTGTAGGACACTCTTGTGGGTCACTTGCCGGGCACTCTTGTGGGACACTCTTGTGGGACACTCTTGTACGACACTCTTGTAGGACACTCTTGCGGGACACACTTGTGGGACACTCTTGTGGGACACTCTTGTAGGAAACTCTTGTGGGACACTCTTGTAGGACACTCTTGTGGGACACTCTTATCTCTTGTGAGACACTCTTGTGGGACACTCTTGTAGGGCACTCTTGTGGGACACTCTTGTAGGACACTCTTGTGATCTCTTGTGGGACACTCTTATAGCTTGTGGGACACTCTCAAGGGACACTCTTGTGAGACACTCTTGTGGGACACGGTTGCGGGACACTCTTGTGGGACACTCTGCGGGACACTCTTGTGGGACACTCTACGCTTCGAGGCTGCAAAACGAGCGTTTCGTACGAGACTTCCTCCAAATGTCACACGTCAAGTCTCCAAAACGAGCGTTTCGTACGAGACTTCCTCCAAAAGTCACACGTCAAGTCTCCAAAACGAGCGTTTCGTACGAGACTTCCTCCAAAAGTCACATGTCAAGTCCCCAAAACGAGCGTTTCGTACGAGACTTCCTCAAAAACTCACACGTCAAAGTCTGCAAAACGAACGTTTCGCGCGAGACTTCCTCCAAAAGTCAACCGGAAACACCCATCGGAGCACACACATCACGCAGCCCTGCCAAGCAGTTTCGCGATTCCAGCCCCTCCAAACCACACCCGCTCACACGCCAATCCCAATGTGACAGCGGCATCCACCTCTACCACAACTCACAACCTCACGATTCCCTGCCTGCCACGAATCTTTCCGCGTCCACACGTCTAAGGCACACAAAGTACTGCGCCTGCCACGAAATGTCAGCTCCGTCACACCTCGCAACCTCACGATTCCCTGCGCCTGCCACGAAAATCGCACTTCCACACCTAAAAGCCGTACAAAGTACTGCGCCCGCCACGAAAAGTGACAATATCATCTCATGTGAGCTTCAACAAAATTTGCACCACACCACACGTTTGGAATGATTTCGACCCGTTCTGAGAACACTCCCATCCACCAAAATCGCCATTTCAGCTGAGACTTCTCACGGAAACAGAGCTTCGATGCCACACCCTGACACGCAAATCCCAATGGCACGGCCACATCCAACACCCCAAAAACACGACTCTCCAAACGCTAATCCCAATGGAACTGCGCAGCAAAGTGCAGATCTGGCACAACGCTGCGCCTGTGCAGTGAAATCATCCTCCTCGCTTCAACATCTTACATTTCCACACGATTCCTCGCTATTTCACACGAATCTGACACGTCACGTTTTCATCCGAAACCCTCTCCAAAAGCTTCCCCCAATGGCAGCGCCTTAGCGCTCTACTGCGAACGGTTGCGAACTTAGAAACAACGGGTCGCGAACCCTTCGCTACGCATTCGGGAAAAAACGTTCATATGGTAAGGCCAGAATCCTTGATTAAACAAGATGGAGCCCACGAACCCGAATGCAAACACGTTCAAAAAGCTACATATGTCCAAATGACACTCTTGTAGGACATTCTTGTGGGACACTCTTGTGAGACACTCTTGTAGGACACTCTTGTGGGTCACTCTTACAGGACACTCTTGTGGGACACTCTTGTAGGACACTCTTGTAGGACACTCTTGTGGGACACTCTAGTAGGAAAATCTTGTGGGACACTCTTGTGGGACACTCTTGTGGGATACTCTTGCAGGACACTTTTGTGGGACACTCTTGTGGGACACTATTGTGGGACACTCCTGTAGGACACTCTTGTGGGATACTTGTGGGACACTCTTGTGGGACACACTCTTGTGGGACACTGTTGCGGGACACTCTTGTGGGGCACTCTTAAGGGACACTCTTGTGAGACACTCTTGCGGGACACTCTTGCGGGACACTCTTGTGGGACACTCCTGTGGGACACTCATTTGGGACACTCTTGCGGGACACTCTTGTGGGACACTCTTGTGGGACACTCTTAAGGGACACTCTTGTGAGACACTCTTGCGGGACACTGTTGCGGGACACTCTTGTGGGACACTCCTGTGGGACACTCATTTGGGACACTCTTGCGGGACACTCTTGTGGGACACTCTT